CAGCTGCGCAACGTGCGCCAAGAAAAGGCAGCGACCGCGACGCACCCAGGGGCCGCCCGCGTGGAGGACACGCATGCAGGATTTTTGGCCCCCACACTACCGAGCCGGACCGCGGGTTTTCGGTCGCCCCCCCGTTCCGGCTCGTGGCGGCTCCCGTTAAAGTAAAGCTTATACATAAATGAAGGATACCATCGCGGGGAATACTCCGCAGGGCGGTATTCTGTATTTATGTGTCGCCACCCCAGCGGCTCGACATTCATCCACTAACAATGACCGCCAGCTGCGCAACGTGCGCCAAGAAAAGGCAGCGACCGCGACGCACCCAGGGGCCGCCCGCGTGAAGGACACGCATGCACGATTTTTGGCCCCCGCACTACCAAGCCGGGCCGGCTCGCTCGGATGCCTCGGGCTTCGCCTAGAAGAACACGAGCAAGCGCGCGACCTTGCCGTAATCGGACGGACGTCCAGGGCTCCGCTCGGACGCTCCGCTTGGACCGCCGAGACGAGCATGCCGCCGCATTTCTCTTTGACGGGCAACCGCCTACCAGAAGATCTCGCCGGACTTGTTCGCTAAAGAGAAAAGCACAAAGCCAGCGCCGGACGTTCTTCGCCGTCTCGCGGAAAGACGACGAGGGAGTTTTCACCTTTTGCAGTGTTCACGCACGGGCGTCTTTTTTCCAAAATCGGATTCGTTCGTTACGGCGTGCCGGCGCGTAACAAGCTCGTTCGTTACGGTGAAACGAACCGTAACGAACGAACGGAAATTCGTTCGTTACGGTGAAACGAACCGTAACGAACCGTAACGAACGAACGAAAATTCGTTCGTTACGGTGAAACGAGCCGTAACGAACCGTAACGGACTCAGCCCCAACTATACTCTTTTTTCTAATTACTGCTTCATCATACCACCGTGTTTGCGTTTTGATCACATCAACTCACGACGCTGCAATCTAATATTATCATGTAAAAAGATCCAACTGTCAATCACGGTGGTGCTACACGCATACAGAATTTACTTTGACATGACACGCGGAGGTACGAAACATGACGGCATGATCGTTTGTCGCGACAACAGTACTTGATCACCAATATAAGAAAAAGTTGGTAGTTCGCCCGTGTAGTGTTTATTAATTTTTTAGACGTCATGTCGCGAATACTAGATGAAATTACAATATAAGGCAGCCGCGCCGGCTGCACTGCCACGCACTTACAGAATTAGTTTGGCATGCAGAAGTAACATTTCTTGCAATACAACAACAGGATCGACGAAAGAAAAAATTGATCTCACGCCAGTGTCTTAGCTTGCAGATAAAGATATCGTAAATGACTACAATTTCAAGCAGCCGCGAAGGCATCGTATTGGTCGTCCTCTTGCTGACGGAACGACGAGAGCAGTGAGAGAGATCTGTCAAGAGAAAAAGCTTTGAATCACGACAGCCGGGTTTGGAGTAGTTTTTGCATAAGTGCTTATCGTTGTGATTGAGAGCCGGGCGCGGCGTCGTGATCTCCTGATGGTTTTCACCCCTTCCAAGCTGCCAGGGAACACAAATAAAACAGCTGAGAGCGTTTGTAATTTTCATGCACCGCGAAAAACATGAAAAATGGTTCAAAAAATGTAAGAACCAGCACCGGTCGACCATGAAACAGTCCAAAGACCCGATGTCTTCATTGCTTTGCGGAATCAAATCCGCTCGCCACATGTACTGCGCCCTCGGGTTTTGTTTCTGCTTCTTCGTCCACTCGGTAATTTGCTGTACTAAATTCTTTGTCTGCTTACTGTTATCCCGTCGCTGTACTAAACTCCAAAAAGGTTCGAAGGTCGGAAACGCCAAATTTTTGTGCATCAAAATCAATTCGTCCTTCGAAAGAACTTTTGTTTCCCCGCCGGGGCGGAGAGGGTTACTACTGGGGGGCTGTGGTGTTGCTTTGAAGATGTTTTATGCTTCTTCAAACTTATGTTTTTCCCGGCCGAAGAAAGCGAAGAAATCATCTTGAAGGCGATGATCTTTTCGTCGTAATCCCTCGAGTTTTCGACTAAATTCTTCCAGTCGCCGAACCGTTTCTGGAAGTCGGTCAAGGAATCCTTGTCCGCATTAAAAACGGGCTGGTCCTTGAACAGCGTGATGTATTTCTTACTGCTGTCGCCTGAATTGTTGCCCTGCCCGACCTGCTGCTGCTTGTTGTTCATCATGGCCATGAACTGCATCATTTGGTCGAATGTGATGTATTGGCCCGGCTGCACCGGAGGATCAGGATTATTGTCGGAGGGGGCCTCCGACTGCGGGGTAGGGGCGTGGGACGGATTGTGACTGGGCGACTGCTCGGTGTAGTGGTCGTCGTGGTCGTAAAACAGGTCGACGATCGCCGCGAAAGTGGCCTCGTCCATAATTTTCATGTCGCTGTCCGGGTGGATGTCCCGGTCGTACTTGCTGACCAGCTTGATAATGTAATGCTGGTCGTTGTAAGTCAAGTCCCCCGCTTCCATTTCGTCCTCCGGCAGCATTTCCGTGATGAAGACGCGGCTGTCGTCGTGAACACACAGGAACACGTATTTCCGGTCTTCGATGGTCACTCCCCGGTTGGGGAGAAATTTCAAATACCCCGGAGCAGGTGGCATTTTTGATTTTGGTTTTCCTGCTGCAAAGAGCAAAAAAAAATTTTGATGTTGCTTGTGGCTATGGAAAAATTGAAAAGGATAAGAATTATTCTTCCGTAACGATCTTGCTACTTGGCTTATACTAGGAAGGGATGAAGTTCGTTAAAGAAGAAAAATAATATTAACAGTTCTGAAAAAAATGCCGTATTTATACTTGCAAACAGTGTGAATTTTTAAATTTTAATTCTAGATAGCCATATACAAAACGTCAAAAAAAGCAAATTTGGCAGCATTCCGTGCTGTATTCTTACTTTGGTTTTTCCAAAAAAAACAGCATTGGGTACAAAAAATGCATTACAAATTGTGAATTTGTACCGAAATACTCACCGACGGGTGGGCAAAAAAATCTTCTTAATGTTTCAAAGAGTAATTTCGTAGCTGGCCCAAGTCTTTCGTGGATGTTACGGTTACCGAATTTGCATTACAAATGTAGAAAAATGCAATGGCTTATTTTGTATACCGAAAATGATCTACGACACCTACGAAGGAAGACGAAGCGAAGAATAAAACTATTGCTTCCGATGGGGTGGGTAGGCATTTACGGGAATGGGAATAAACATTCAGGCTCTCCACCAATGTTGGACCGACGACTCGAACAACAAATAGAGATAGAACTCAGCTCGAGTTTCGCACGATCGCATTCGTTGAGATACCCACAAAAGACTGTCATTTGGTGTGTGTACAAGAATTGCTCAATTCGATTTCGTGCATCACAGATTCATCTTTTCTCGCATCAATTTCTCTTTGTGTAAAAAACAAGAAAAAACATTTTCACGAAAAAAGTGCATGACAGACATTTTGTTTCTTCACAGACTCAGTGTGGGACAACAGTTTTCACCCCTTCATCCAAGCTGCCAGGGAACACAAATAAAACAGCTGAGAGAATGCGCTTAGGCAGTTATTGTTCCTCTTTTCCACTTATAAGGTGGCCCACTGGCGCACTTAGCAACCCACACGCAGTGTGAGTGCTTTACCTTCGACTTCGCCTTTTTTGTAAAAATCCCGCACAAAGAAATTTGAGCAAGACCAAGACGTGGTAGTTATGCAATTTATCCAAAGTATGTGGTGGACTCTTCATGTTGTATCTTTATCAAAACTGGCAAGCTCCAGGCTGCAACTGCATGCAATTGCAAGAGCAGGCCATAGAAGAAGTCTCATTAAATTCATCAATTTCATCCACTGCGACTGCCAAAAGATCGCCCACGAGGCGCAATATGGATATAAACTAAGATTGATCGTTGTCCCGGGAATATGTTTTCAAAACTGAGTAGCACGCGCACTTGTGCAACTCCCTCACGCCTTCGCCTTCACTGGTTTCTACGACTCACCAGCAGCTTTGCGGCTAACGCTAAGTTGTTGAGCAGACATTTTTACCACAATGTTCGCTATGAGATGAAAAAAGAATCGTACACTCTATATGTCGAGAACTTCAGTTCTGTATAAAAAAAAAAAACTTTTCTACTTCTATTCCAAAAATAAATCACATTCATGTGGTCTAGACATGATCGAGAGCTGATCCTCTAGTTCTTAGTTCCATCTTCCAAAAGCGTCATTCACCGAGAAGCATACTGGCACTGTAGGCAGGAGGAGGAGCAGCCCCCATGCGGAATATGACGAGTTTGTAACTTCTGATGGTGATGTACATGTAGAGATCTCGTCTTCTATATTCATAAGTTCCTACAAAACTTCCTCCTGCTCAGGCCGCCTATGCATCTCGTCGGGCCATGCTGAGATAACACAGGGTTTCCTGCAAAGGCCGCATCTTGTATGTATCTCGTGCTGTGCTGGGATTCTTTCTTTCTTTCTTTCCATGCCTGGGCATGGCATCAATTTTTCGAGGCCCGTGCTGGGATAAGTGAAGAAGTTGTTAATACGTGGCGCTCGACTTGGTTTCAGGAGTGCTTCATCATACAACTACGCCCAGTGGTCAAACGCTGGAATGTCAATGCCTACTGAGCTATAGTACATCTACAAATACAATCATCTCGTATATCATAATAATGATTATGATTTCAATTTATGAACCTCCGCCAAATGCTATAATGCCCTTTCTTCCCTACTTTCCTACGGGTACTAATTGTTCACAGGTGTGGCAAATCAGGTCTTCTTCCACCTCTTTCCACGCACGACGCGCAGTCCCGGCGGCCAGCGAAGGCTTGCATATCCATGCGCGGGAAAGAAAACCAGAGTCTACGTGCCACGACAAAGTTTCAGCTTCTTCGTGTGTTGCAGAAGAGCACTATTTCTACACCACGGCACCCGTTGTAAGTACTTCTCGCTCATCGTCTCCTCCGACCTGGTGCTGCGTACTTAGTTCCAGGGTCGCGACAGTTGTATCGTCAATTTCAGCGAGTACAACGACCCGTCGCCCTGTTCCTTTTTAACCTTCATTTCTAGGTGCGTGTGCGTTGTAAAGCCAACCGCTTCGGACATGTTGTTCACTGCAACATGGCCATGGGGTCCAATAACAAGCCTGCCGCGGCGGCGGCGGCGGAACGAAGCTGCAGCTTCCTGAGAAAGCCGCACGGGCCGCGTCCCAATGACGAGCACTGGCGTTTCAGATGTGCCAGACAAGACCCACCTACATGTGGCGTGTGGCGGACCTGCTGCCAGTGCGATCTCGAGGACCTTCAGAAATTCCGTGTAGAACGATTTGGAGTCCACAACATCCTGGAACCGCGGAGAATGCAGTTCTACGTAAGGCTCCAACAACTCTGCCAGCAGGAGCGACTCCTTATGAACTGCAAAAGTATCGTACTCGTATAAATGCATTACAAATTTCCTCAGCGTGAGAGATAAAATTTGTCATGCGGATTTACGTTAAGAAAAAGATTTGTAATGCAAGACTTGCATTTATACGAGTACGATACTTTTGCACAGGATACTCCTCCGGCGGCGGCGATGCTGGGCGGCGGGAAAGCAAAGCCGCAAAGGTTTCGTGTCAAATGTAAAAATGTCTGGGTCTGGAAGATTGATGCCAGGTTTGTCATGCACATTTTGCATGACTCCTGATCGATCTGTGATATGCATGCCCTAGCATCACAGATTTTGTGAGGACTTCCTGATGCTTATACCGCATGACAAATGCTCTTTCCGTGTAGCAAAACTTGGACTCTCTTTGCTGCTCATGCAATACAGATTTTTTTAGAATCCAAAAGCAGCATGACAAGTTGCATTCTTCCAGACATCCAGGGATTTTTACATTTGATATTTCGTTTGCTGCAGCAAGTTCGGGATGAAAAATCCAGCGCTTCAAACGCTTCTGCTATCCTGTGCAAAAGTAAATCGCACTCGTACTAATTGCAGTTATGCATTACAAATCTAGCTGTTAAGGTAAATCAGCATTACAAATTCAGGTTTGTAATGCTGAGCTAATTTGTATTGCGATTTATACTAGTACGATACTTTTGCACAGGATATTCTGCTATCCTGTGCAAAAGTAAATCGCACTCGTATTTTCAATCGCAGCCATGCATGACAGATCTATAAGTTACTAAGGGAAATTCGCATTACATGTGGTTTAGCCTAGCGCTTAAGGCTCCGGGGAATAAAACCTTTTCAAGGCTCCGGGGAATAAAACCTTTTCCGTGCATATATTAAAAAAAAACTCAAACTGAAACAACACACGCCTGGGATTATGGAAGCATATATTTACATTGTGCTAATACTTTCTTGTAATTAGAGCGGGGGAACAAATGGCCCGTTAACTCGCACCCGCGAGTTAGCCGTCCGCGCGGCCGGCCGGACGCCGGTTAACTCGCGGCTAGAAGTGTTGACAAGTCGAAAGGTGGCGCAAATCTAAAAACCCGAAGTGCTCCAAAATTTGTAATGCAAATTTCATTCTTTCCGTCTCCCTTCGGAAAAATTTGTCATGCGATCTGTACTAGCGCGATGCTTTTGCAATGCGTATCTGCTTGACCGCGACAAATTCCTCGGCGAAGTTGACCGGTTTCGACGTGCCGGCAAGCAAATTCCAAAGGTTATCAAATGCGAAAGTGTAAGTGTCTGGGTCTGGGAGATTCTGATACTTGTCACGCACGTTTTGCATGAGCCATGATGTCTGTGATGCATGCCGTAGCATCACAGAATTTTCAAGGGGCTCTTGATGCCTATTTCGCATGACAAATGCCCTATCCGCGTAGCAAAAATTACATTCCCTTATTTGCTACTCATGAAATACAAATTTTTTTGGAATCCAAATGCAGCATCACAAGTTGCATTCTTCCAGACCCAGACATTTTTGCACTTGATACAGGTTCGATGGTAATGGAGAATTCACACACGTTGCTTTAAGCAGGTTCCGAAAATGGGCTGCGACTTTCCTCGTGTCCGCCCCCGGCGGGGGCGCGCTGCCGGCCGCAACTCTTTCCAGCACTGGTTCCGGAAGATCTGCCAACGACATTTTTGGAGATGTTCCGTGATTCCCCGCGGCTCGGCAGCCAAGCGGCGCCATCACTCCCATCAGGGAAAAACCGACAAGAAACACCATGGAACCAACAACACTCGTGGTGGAGGTCCGCACACGACGGGAGGCGTGCAGCAGCGTCAGCATTCTGTAGTTGCGGGCTACTTATTTCTTTGTTGCTAAAGAGAGGGTCAGGCTTTTGAAAGCTGTGTGTTAAGATGCGCTTAGTTGGCAAGGCTGGTGTCGTGGGGTGTTACACCTCCAGTGGAATTATCATGTAGTGCACAACTCCCGCTCCCCCTCATCTGTAGTGCATGCATGGCAACACAAGCAATGGTAGATATGAGGCTCCCGCATGACAAATCTCCAGACCGATCGCAGTACTGTTTGAGGCTCCGAGATTTGTCATGCGGACAGTGCTTCATCATCATCATGTAGTGGACACCCGCACCCAGCGCCACAGGTCAAGGATCCCCTCCCCGGGGGGTGGGCGAGGAAGCACTTTCGGCGACCTCCACATACAAAAGCCGAGCGCTACCACGGCAAGTCGCCCCAATAGAAGTACCAACCAGTCGGGAGCTACCCACCACACCTGATCAGTACAGCCCGGCCA